AACTCTATTTAGTTTTCAAAATTAATATGTAATTATACTTAGTGGAATTTTTACAATTCACACATAACTTAAGTAATCCCTAAGTGTTCGTTGTTGGGCACTAAAGTGCCACTTAAAATCAGCGTAAATGTCACTTTAGTGTCAAATCGTCACTTAATTGCGCTTTGTACAACTGTCCCTTAGACTAATACGTAGCTCGACAACAATTAAGTAGTGAAGTGTTTTATCGCAGTAGTTTGAATGAAAATGTTATCTTTTATTGCCCTGTTAGAGATTGCGTCACTTTCATTCAAATTAGCAGCAAATATATGTATTAGCAGATATTCATAAAAACATTAATTTCTTAGAAATATGCATAAAGCAAAAAAAAAAAAATTAAATTAAAATAAAATAAAGAAGAGGACCACACTTCACAAGAAGTAATTCGTAAAGAAGCTTAAACGTATCAAAATGGGAAGATGGCGAAAATGTTATAAAAATCACAATTAACATTGAAGTGATAATTTCTCAGAAGCAGCAAAAAATCCCATGCGAAGATGCAGCTTGACCAGCCGGTCTCTTGGCAGCAGAAGTTGAAGACACTGAAATGCTGGAGTAGTCGTGCTTTCAATGAGCAAAAGAAAGACGTGAAGATGAAGCACGCGACGACCTTGAAAAAGATAATGTTAAAAAAAAAAATTAAAAGAAGTGAAAAATGTAAAATATTGACATAAATCGAAGAAGGATGATTATTGCAGCCATGAAAAAAGTGAAAAATACCTAAGAAGACTGCAAAAAATTAAATTAATTTTTGTTTTTTTTTTTTTTCATAAAATGTAGTTTACTCTTAAAACAGTTTATTTTCACAGCACAAACATACATAATATATGTAAAAAAAATTATATATTGTATATATGAAATACGAAACTCGTTTTAACCTTTGCTTACCTTTTTATTGACTTATAAAAAACTATTAAATAACTTTTAGCCAAGTTACGTCATATACAGCTTAAAAGGAAGCCATACACGGCAAGACAATAAAGTATTAATGTCTCTCTGCCGCGGTGGCGGCAGATCTG